ACCTCGTGTTTTTCCGTCGAATCGTCATGTCGCGATGATGCAGCAGAAACGGTATCCATCGGCAGCGGGTGTTCGGCTCTGGGCAGATTTCCGAAGTCCCGCGCAATTTGTAGGTTTAATGTTTTACTGAAATTTGGGGTTTTTGGCTCTGCTCTTCCTCCTGCTCATGCACGTAAAAACAAGTTTTCTTAAGTTTTTACTCCATCATTGTTTCTGAGAGCAGCGATGACACTCTGATGTGACACGTAATTGTTCGTTTGAAACTCGGTGTCCCAATTCGACTGTTTATAATATTTGGGGAAACACCTGTTGTGTTGCGTCACTGACGCAGAAGCTTTCCGTGCCCGTACATAAAGAGTGTGGTAAAGCAAAAGGCAGTACAGTATTTCGATTTGTATCAGACCTAATTGTGGATTGTTAGGTATTTATACTGTATTTCATCCACTCAGTCACTGGCTTATTAGTTTGTTCCACGTAGGTTGGTATTAGCAATAACGGCCATATTCAGACATAGTCTACACGATATATACAACGAAACTATACGCAAAGAACCATGTTGGTGCTGTTTTATAAAACTGGTATTAGACGCTATCATACTTAATCACGAACTGTTGCCTCCAGACTCCAGTTTGACGCCCCAGCCGGGGTCGGTTGATATCCGCCATGCTATTGGATGTCATCATAGTGCGAAGTCGAAGCGCAGTGAAGTACGCCATCTTTAGCCGCAGCGAACATACCTGAAGTTGGAAGTAGTTGGACGAAAACGTGTGTACGCCAAACTGTTCTTTTCTTGTTAGCGTAACGTCCATTGCATTCTAATTGGTACCTTGAAGTAACTCTGCCCGGAATCAAGGAAAAATTTGCGGTTTTTTGGCAGATCGTTTATTCCATGCCATTGTCGAAATACGGCCAGTGTAACAAGAGCCGGAGTGGCTAACAAGATGATGATTTGTTAGCTGACAAGCGAACGATCTAGCAGTCACTCAGCAATGGCTGATCAGTCAGTCAGTTTCGATGACCATTTATCCTTTCAGGTCGAGGAGGGAGAAGGGAGGCATCGGTAGATCTCTAATGTTTCCGATCCTGCGCCAGTGTTTGAGCTTTGACAGAAATTGTCTGAGTCCCGATGTCATAAGACAGAACAACCATTATGTGTCGAGGCACTTGCCCCAGACGTTCTTGGTCTTCCATGGGGTGTTCGGCTGATCGATTGAGCACGTAGCAACTGTTTCTCTTTCTTTTCTGAAAGCCGCGGCTGTACGACAGGCTTTATCAGATATCGGAATTCCGGACTATGTCTAGACGCTTGAGCCCACGATTTGTCTCAGAAAGCCTATTCATCCATTGTACCCGGGATTATATTTGTTTGATGGTCCATGCTTCGTGACCATGAGTAAGCATGGGAGCGACAATCGATTTGAAACCAGCTACATCTTCAGACAGACCTCTTCTTTCATTACGCGGTTCGGCGCTGTCTATCTCGATTCGCCGGTAGATCTTTTGCTCATTTTCAACACCGGTTTACACAGCCGCAAGATGCTTAAACTTCATCTGACCCGCTGCTCTCCCGTTTATTTGCGAAGTACAGCGAGCAGGGAATCGAGGTAGGCTTTTGGTTTTAGACACGTTCAAATGCATGCCGGCCATGTCGTACTTCGTTAGAGCACTCTGGATATCAGTTTCGGTGGATGCTAACAAGACAAAGTGGTTTGCAACAGCAAACTTCTTATTATGACATTATCTACGTAGATTCATCGCCTTGGCTGCTCCTGTCTCACTTGTCCATGTGCACAGCTGAAAAGCTGATAGCTTGTTATTTCTTTGATACAGTAGTATTGGTAATGAACGGCTCGAAGTCCATCCCAGCGTTTTCTCTGTAAACGATAGGATGATTTTGTACTCTAAAACGTTATTGTAAAGTGAACATTGCATAGCTGTTTTTCAGTAAAAACCGTATCTTGGTCTCCCTTACATCACATGACAGGTACACCACATTTTAAATACCAGTCGCTGGAAAAGAGAAAGTTAAATCCATTTATTTGCAGTGATGGTTTGAGATCACAGTTATGCCTTCACGATTTTTTCACTACTGCTGGAAACGCTGTCAGCCGAATTTCGCTAGCGGATATCGATATGCGGATGAAGTCTTTTTGTTATAAGCGTTTATCGTTAGTATTCTGTTGCTTGCTTTTTGGTGTTTACTATGCAAGTAGTGCATATCTGCGTAGTGATTGAATGTATGAAAGTTTTATATAGTTTAAATTTACTCATACGGCAAACGACGTTTTCTCTGGCGGCCGATCTAAACGTCGTAAAATAGAGCATCGCCCGCGTTGCTGCCCAGAGATGTGTTTGTTTGATGGACAGTTTCTGACGATCCATGCAATCATAGCACAGTAGAGCTTGCTTTGGTGTGATCGTCGAAGGTTTCCAGTGTTCGTTGATGTTTACAATGTAGAATTATAAACGCAAGTTTGCTGTAGGAGACACCGGTTTTGCAACTTCGGCGTAGCTGGACGTGACCAGTGAAACTGCCAGAATAACGTTTCTGGTCGCCTAGTCATCAAGCTTCCTTAAATTGCCTTTAAAGGCACTGTATATAATCTTTCTTGTTCAGCTTACGATCCACGGTTCGTCAGTATCCACCTCAAGACCTTGTAGGTGACTGGCAAATAGTGACCTGTAGTTCTTCAGATCCTCTTGTATAGCAGAATTACCGATGCGGTAGTCCAGTCGTCTGGAATTTTCGTTTGCTTCTGTGCGAAAACAGGTGCGCTAATATCCTTGTCAGTTAGTTCTTCACCTCGTTGAGTCACAAGTTCCGCTGTAATTCCGTCTTCACCAGCGCCTTGGTCTTTTCGTGTGATTTATTACTTGTCTAAGTTCTTTCGGCA